TCATGTCCGTATCTCACACATACATACATACATACACACGCACACACACACGCACACACACACACACACGCACACACGCGTGCGCATGCACACACAGTATACTTTTAAACAAAAATGTAATCACATCACCTATGCTCTTATGACACTGACTTTTTTACTTAGCAACATAATATAAACATTTCCCCCATGCAACAAAATATAGATCACACTCATTTTAAATTACTGTACATATTCTAGTGCAGTGATGCGAACCTTTTGAGCTCGGCGTGGCAGCATTTTGAAAAACCCTAACTTAACTCTGGTGCCGTGTTACATACAGAAATTTTTTGATATTTGCAACCATAGTAAAACAAAGATTTATATTTTTGATGTTTATTTCATATATTTAAATGCCATTTAACAAAGAAAAATCAACCAAAAAAATGAGTTCGCGTGTCACCTTTAACATGCGTGTCATAGGTTCGCCATCACTGTGCTAGTGAGTAGATGTACAATACTTACAAATCCCTATTAGTGGGCATTTGAGAACTTTTCTACTTTTTGCCTTTACAAATAGTTCAGTCATGTACATCCTATCATTGATATGTCTTCACATATAATTGTTACCAATTAAAGTAGTTTCCTAAAATGAAATTGCTGGGCCATAAGGCATGCATATTTATATTTTGAAGTATAGTGCCAAACTACCCCCCAGAAAGCTGTACTAATTTACCCAAGGACAATCAATGTCAGTGTTTCTAACCTTTGCTAATCTCATAGGTGGAAAGTAGCTCAGTGTTTTCCCAGTAACATCTATTAATTACTAGCCAGGTTAAATGCTATTGCATATGTTGATAGATTATATTTCTTCACTTATTTTTTTTCTTTTGTGAATTATCTGTACCCATTTTCACCCATTTTTCTCCTGTTGTAAGTGTCTGTTATATTAAGGACAGTAAACCTGTTTGGTATGTATAATATAATGTTATTTCCTAATATATTACCTCTTCCTTCCTTCCTTCCTCCCTTCCTTCCTTCCTTTCTCTCTCTCTCTCTCTCTCTCTCTCTCTCTCTCTCTCTCTCTCTCTTTCTAAATCCATTTATCATCTCTTTTAGAGTTTCTGGTTTGGGTGTTATTCTTAATACATTTCTCTGCACCCAACTCTGCAGAGATAGTCTCCTGAACTTCTTCTGGTACTTTTATAAATCCTCACACTTTCAAGTTTTCTATCAATGAGTAACATAAAAACTAAAAAAAAAAAAAAAAAAAAGACATTATCTCCCCAGCCCATTCCTTAATCTCATCTAATTCCCCAACCACATTAAATTACCTCTTACTGAGAAAAGTTACAAAGAAAACACAGTTTTTACATTTCAAAATGATTGTTTTGATGCAGGGGCTTGAAGTCTTCGCTCCTTCAGAGAAGCAAACTCTCTGAAGAACTCTCCATTTTGGGTCCATAGGAGCCCTGCGCTGCCCTGCCCTGCGCTGCAGTGGGAGGCTGAGCCAGGAGGCCGTGTCCTTCCAGCCCCTAATGCTCACCTCCGGCGACTCACCTGGGCCCCAGCTATGAACAATATAAAGTGAACAAAGGAAAGTTGGAAGCAGCAGCACCTTCCTAGGCATTCTTCCTGCTCACCCGCAGCCCGCATTCCCTTTTCCTCGCACTCAGTACAAGGTACAGGCTCCCTGGCTCTGTGCCTGGATTTGTAGGGGTCCCCACTCTGCCTCCCCCCAGTTGCTTTTTTAAAACGCCAGTAAGGTATAATTTGCACCCCACAAAATTCACCTACTTGAATGTACATTGCCATGATTTTTAGTGAACGTGCCAAGTTGTGCAACAATCGCCACAATCCGGTTTAGAATGTTTTTATTCTTCATATCCATTTACATTAACCCCATTCTCATCCTCAGCCCCGGGCAACCACTAATCTACTCTCTGTCTCTATAGAGTGGCCTTTTCTGGACACATCAGATAAACGGAACCATATACCCCTCCAGTTTGGCATGGCCTCTTATCGCTGGTGAAAAATTCCAGATGCAGCCTCGGTTCTGCAGAAACTGACCAGCCAGACACAGGTCCCAATAGCTCGTAAATGACAGAGCTCTGACTCAGATCCAAGTCTGTGATTCCACATTCTTTCCGCTCCCTCCGGCTTTCCTGATCTGGACACATTTTCACTGTTGAATGGAAGATTTAGTGATGACCGTTGTCGAAAAGCCTCAAAGATCACGGGCCTTCTGGGTCCAGACACTGAATGCATGACTCATCTCAGCCAGCAGAGGGGGCCACAAAGATTAATTTGAGTTCACTTTTGCTTGTCACTGATGAGCATCTTAAGAAAAAGAATGGGAATGGTAACCCTAGGGCAGTGGTTCTCAGCCTTCCTAACGCCGCGACCCTTTAATACAGTTCCTCATGTTGTGGTGACCCCCAATTTTCACTGTTACAAATTGAACATAATTAAAGCATAGTGACTAATCACAAAAACAATATGTAATTATATATGTGTTTTCTGATGGTTTTAGGTGACCCCTGTGAAAGGGTCGCGACCCACAGGTTGAGAAACGCTGCCTAGGGTATTCTGGGTGGATTTTTTCTCACAAAGCTGTTCTTCTCTGGGTAATTGCAAATAGTGATGGAGAATAAAAGCTAGACATGATTTTGGGGGCACCTTGAAAGTTTCTTTTCAGGCTACTCAGACCAGGATATTTAAAAAAATGTAATAAAAAGAAAAAAATACAGATTTGATTTTAGGAAGCTAATGAAGAGTTCTTAAGTTATGACGCTTCAGCATGACAGATGTCATAATACAGTGGGACCTTGACTTACGAGTGTCCCAACTAACGAGTTTTTCAGATACAAGCTGTCTCTCGGCCGATTTTTTGCTTTGAGTTGCGAGCTAAAATTCGGGTTACGAGCCAGCTTCAGATACCCCACCGCTAGTTGGTACAGCGAACGTCACAGTGAACGCCACAACATCAGCCCAGCATCACGTGTCTCACTCGTTCACTTCTTGATTTGACATACGAGTAATTTGAGTTACGAGCTCTGTCACGGAACGAATTAAACTTGTAAGCCAAGGCCCCACTGTATCAAGCTGATTTGCCAACCTCTTGCATTTTTACATAATAAATCTATCCTTTGAGAGAGAAGGGAAATGGAAACATGTTTCTTAAGTTATCCGAATCCAGTATCTGTGTAGCTAGTATTCACTGGATAATACTTCAAAATGACAACTGAATTTATCTTTGGAGAAATAATTTTACTGTAATACCTCCCCAGCTATCTGGACTAAAATGGCTAAGCTCAGTTGCAGCGTTAACTTTAAGAGGAGCTCAGCATCATAGTCTCCAGATCCAGAGGGTATATTTCCCTTGGCTGCCCCTAGCTAGCTTAATGCCTCCTAACCCCCTCCATCCTGGATGCTGGATGGATGGATGGATGGATGGATGGATGGACGGATGGATGGTACTCAGGAGCCAGGATGGGAGGTCTCGGGAACTTCTTCAGGGGAACTCAGTGATGAAATTGCTCTGAGCATCACACCTGCCCATTGTCAAAGTCACTGGAGCCATATGTCCGCTGGTCCCGTGTCCCTGTTCTTTTCATGATTCCCAGAATCCTGGTGGCAGCCGTGGAACCAGCACTAGACCAGGCAGGACATGGGCTTGAAGACCAGCTCTTCCTGTTCCCAGCCAGGTATCACTACCCTTTCTGCATCGAACTTCAAAACCTGAAAAATGGCAATAATGATATTTGCCTTAACCAGCCTTTACCTCACAGGGCTGTGTCAAGGAGCAGATGGGGAGAAGAGAATGTTGGACGAGCACGAAGTGTAATTATTATAGCGCTGTGCCTACGGGAGACGGAGAGAAGAGGGCGCCCAGGCAGATAACAAAGACAGAGACAGAAGAAAGTCACAGTTCCAGCAGCAAATCCTGCCTGCCGTCAGACACAGGTGCATAAAGACATCCTTCCCGTCTTTATTCTAACCAGCCTCCTGGGGAAAACAGAAAATACTCCATTCTAGTTTCATGAGATGATTTTGCTAACATCACTCAAGCATCAGAACCACAAAATATATTTATGCTTTTCCAGGAGGATTAGCTTGCTTTTAAAATAGAAAACATAATAGAAAATAGAAGGCTTTTCTGAGCTCCTTTCTGTCTGCGGGTGGGCTGCTGCCCGATTTACGAATTGTTAAATGCAGCCAATCAGATCTTCCAATGGACTCCGCTGAATTTTGTTGAACACCTCTTAAATAAAACGTCATCTCTAAACGGGCCACAATGTATACTTCCTAAGAAGCATGCATAGAAAAACGTTAATGAAGATATTCGTGGTAATAATGATGTATCTCTGACTTGGATTCATGAAGTCTCCTCTTTCGTGCTTTATTTACAGTCTGAGGCACAGACTCTCACTGGCCCCTGTCCAGGACTCTGCCTCTTCTGAAAGCACATGGATTTCATTGTGACGGAAATGCTGACACTTAAAGGCTTCTAGGCGCCCTTCCCCCGAGGCGTTTCGCTAATGTGTACCAGAACTTTTTTTTTTTTTTTTAAGAAAAAAAGAGAGAAAGAAATGCTTTGCAAAGCAAAGGGTCTGCCTTCGGGCACTTGGAGCACAACTGTCTCCTGTTAATGGCAACCTCGTTAAGAGAACAGGAAATGACGTTCGTTGTGCTGGTGCCTTCCATGGTACCAGCTACCATTCGTGGGAACACGTGCCCTGTGCCAGGCACTGTGCTGCGTTCGTCTGTGGGTAATCGCGTTTGCTCAGCACATAAGGTAGGAGTTTTTTTTGTGTGTATATTATATATATTGAGGAAATGGAGCCTTAAAGCCTTTAAGCAACTTGCCCAGATTCACACAGCAAATAAGTGGTGGAGCCAGAATTTGAACCCGCAGGGGTCTGACTTCAGGGGCCTCTGCGAATTAAACGGCACTGATTAATTCATGCCAAGTCTCTATGACAGTGGTTCTCAACCTTGGCTGCACATTAGAATCACCTGGGAATCTTTTTAAAATCCTGATTTCTGGGCCTCATCCTCTGGAAATTCTGTTTCTTTGTTACTAATGTTGTGGCCTCACCCCATAACAAAGAAACAGAATTTCTGGAGGATGAGGCCCAGAAATCAGGATTTTATTATTACTATTATTTTAAATATATTTTATTGATTTTTTTACAGAGAGGAAGGGAGAGGGATAGAGAGTTAGAAACATCGATGAGAGAGAAACATCAATCAGCTGCGTCCTGCACACCCCCCACTGGGGATGTGCCGCAACCAAGGTACATGCCCTTGACCAGAATCAAACCTGGGACCCTTGAGTCTGCAGGCCGATGCTCTATCCACTGAGCCAAACCGGTTAGGGCCAGAAATCAGGATTTTTAAAAAGATTCCCAGGTGATTCTAATGTGCAGCCAAGCTTGAGAACCACTGCTTTATGAGATACGGATTTTTACTCATCTTGACAGGTGAGAAAACTGGAGTTTTGAGTAGTGACTCGCCTGGCACAGGTTGCAGCTATTAGGTGATTGAGCAGACGGGCCTGGTTCTGACTGGACCCTCACACCCTTGCTCTTTCCATTAAACTGGAGGTCTATGAGCTGCTCCTAATTCCCTGAGGCCACTTAAAAAAAAAAAAAACAGGAAGGGAAATTGAATTGACTAACAGCAAGAGAAGGTTAGTGACAGTTTATCACTCCCACCAGCCTTTTACCTCTGGGAAGGCTCCAGGGTCTGATAGAGCTTTGCATGAATTCTCATCTCCTGAATGGCACTGACACAAATGAGATAATCAAGGCTCCGTTACTGAAGGGGATAAAAATAATACGAATTGTTCAGTTTGCTTTTGTGCTATCTGGCACTGATAGGACTGGCCAACCAGCAGATGCTGGGATCCAGATGAAAGAACAGGGAACATGTGGTCACATATTTACAAGTGTCATATGGCACCCTTAAGGCTCTGAGGCATTAGTTTTTTCTCTCAGAAAAAGAAAAAAGCAACTTTAATAATCAGGAATGTTTCTTTACAGTCCTTGAAGTTCTGGCAAACTTACAGTTATAACTCAGGCTTCTCTCCAAACCAAAATGTGGTGTAAAATTTGGCCTGAGGAAAAAAAATAATCTATACCTGAAACTCTATAAGCTTAATTTTTATCCTCAAATGTTAATTTTTATCCATGAACAGCTAGGAGAACATACTGGTTATAACCACCTGAAAATGAGCATTACTCTCAGTCAGGGAGCTGGTCAACTAATAATGATGAAAAATCTCTGTTCAGTAAGTTTGAAAATACTCTATGGTGATACTTTTTTAAATGAGCAACTAGTTTGGCAATGTGAACAATCAATGCTAATTTATCTGTGTGTGTTTTTTAAAAATTACCTTTATTTTCAGGAAAAAAAGAAATTTTCAATTTAATTTTTAAATTGAAATAGACACTTAACAGTACATTACTTTCAAGTGTACAACATGATCAGATATATGTATACATACGGTCCCTGACTTACAATGGTTCAACGTATGATGGTTCAGTGTACGATGGTGGTGTGAAAGCAACACACATTCAATAGAAACTGTACTTTGAATTTTGTATTTTGATCTTTTCCGGGGCTAGCAATAGAGGGACCATTCCCTCTGGTGATACTGGGTGAGGGCAGGGACCATGAGGGTGAACAGCCGATACTCTACACTGACCAGAAAAACTTGAATCAAGAGGGTGGGAACAGAAGGCTGGCACCGTATTTCAGTCCAACCATGGCACCCGGTACAAGCTTCTGCTGTGAGAGCTCACTGTCCAGGGTGGCCATACAGTGACCCTGGAATACCCACAAGCATTCCTTACGGCTCTGTGGCATTTGTTTTTTCTCTCAGAAAAAGAAAAAAGCAACGGTAATAATCAGGAATGTTTCTTTACGGTCCTTGAAGTTCTGGCAAACTTACAGTTATAACTCAGGCTTCTCTCCAATGTTTACCTTCATCTTTTCCTGCCCCTCCCTTTCTTTTAGACTCTCCAGTTTGTGTTCTTGAAGCTGACCGCTCAGGCAACACCCAGGATGTTGTCTCCTTCTCATTCTTTCTCTGTGACGTCTCTGCTCTGTGTGACGATGCTGGTGAACCACCGTGTATTCATGGTGTTGGATAATTTTGCCCAACTGCAGGCTAAAAATACGTGTCCTGAGCATGTTTAAGGTCGGCTAGGCTAAGCTATGATATTCGGCAGGTGAGGTGTATTAAACGCGTTTCCGGCAGGATATTTCATTTACTGTGAGTTTATTGGGGTCCTAACCCCGTGGTAAGTCAAGGAGCATCTGCATCTTGTGAAATGATCACCTGGATAAATCTAGTTAACCTCCATCACCACACACAGGTACAATTGTTTCCCTTGAGATTAGAACTTCATAAACGTATTCCCTTAGCCACATTCAAAGCTTACAGTACAGTGGCTTTTGTTGCAGGCTGAGATTTAAAGGCCAGGAAGAGGATGTGGAGAAGGCGAGTTGACTGCCAAACTGGATTGGAAAAGATAGTCCTAGAACAGGGACCTGCCGATCTGGATGCTCAGCTCCCTTCTCTTTCTTTCTCTGGTTGCCAAGGGCAGAAAAAGGCAGACGGGGTAGCGAAAACTAGAACTCCAGAGGGCAACTGGAGCTTCCCTCTGAAGGAGCTCAGCAGACAAGAGCTGAAAGCCTGTGCTTATCAGGAGCTGCTGTAAGGAAATGCTGTCCTCTCCCCCCAGGTCACCTCAGCCGGGTTTCCGATTGCCTTCCCCTGAAAGTTTCCGCTGCTCTCATTCCGAGAGCAGTCCCCTCCCGGCCAGAGGGGAATGAAGACAGCTACAAGTGGGTCAGAGAACTGCATGGCCTATTTGTTTCTGTGGGGATTCTTTTGTTTTCCTGTTTACCTTCGTCTTTTCCTGCCCCTCCCTTTCTTTTAGACTCTCCAGTTTGTGTTCTTGAAGCTGACCGCTCAGGCAACACCCAGGATGTTGTCTCCATCTCATTCTTTCTCTGTGACGTCTCTGCTCTACGCGACTGTGCTGGTCACTGTTTTATGCTACAGCGCAGGTAGAGCCCCCAGGCATCTGCCAGGAAGCGTTTTCCCAAATGGGAAAAGGGCCAGAGACTCGCCTTTAGAGAGAACACCAAAGGTCAGTGGTCAGGTTCAGGGCCAGGAAGTCAGATTGTTGGAATAGAACAGGTGGGAACACTGAGCGGGGAGCTGGAAACAACAGGCAGCTCAGACCACACACGCAGCGGGACGGGTCAGCACCCACAAGGAAGTCACGAGAAGCGGGAGGGAGCCCGGGCCCGCAGTCCTGCCCTGTGAAGCCAGGAGGGCTTTGGGGCTAGAGGCCACGGCTCTGCGTTCACCACGGTGGTTCTTAGGGCGAGGGCCCTGCGGAATAACATGCAGGGAGCTGTTCTGACACCCAGCCCTGCCCACCAGAAATCGCCCTTTCTTTAGTTTCTGTACATTATGTTTATTATTGTCTCTCCTACCTGTGGACCTTTGGCCTTCTTTCTTGTGATGATCTCTCTTCACCCTGACTTCATCCTTTGTTTTTCTCTGAGACCCTCTCTTCCTCAGGAGGCCCTGCCTTCCTGATTCACTGTGTCCTGGCGTCCGCCCCGTGTTGTGCTTACGTTCCAGTTCTCTGGCTTGAATGGACTCCGGGCCATGCTTGTGGGTACTCCAGTGTCACTGTATGGGCCACCTGGACAGGGAGCTCTCACAGAAGCTTGTAACGGGTGCCATGGTTGGACTGAGATACGGTGCCAGCCTTCTGTTCCCACCCTCTTGATTCAAGTTTTTCTGGTCCAAGCTCTGGAGGGTTACGGTGCTTTTAACTCAGAATACAATCACAGTATTGGAATGAACACTTCTCCAAAGGATTCTGACTGGCAGGGAACTGCTGGACACTTGCAGTCACTCTTCCCAAGGAGGCAGGGCAGAGCTGTGCTATCTGGCACTTTATATCAAGGTCAACGACCAGTGGCCCCATCCCACTAGCTTGGCATGAGAACTTTATTGCTTTGATCCTCTATTTGATGAACTTGCATTGGGACATTCAAGATTGATTGGATCTCATTTATCTAATATTCCCTGGCCCCTTCTTGTTTATCTTATCTAGGACTTGGAATTTCTTTGTCTTCTTCCAGCATCAACTCCTTTCTACAGAATTCTTTTAGCCCAGAAATATCTAAAAAGGTTTTGCAATTTTCATTGTGAAGCCTATGGAAGAAATATTACCTTTAAGACATTGGAAAAATATCTGCCATAAGAGAGAAATATCAATTATATTTGATATTTATCTTTGATGTAGAATGAAGACTACGAGTATCTTGGTTCCCTAGTACAAACAGTGCTTTCATCTCCTTTCTTTTTCAATAAACTTGAATTCCCTTGTAGCTTCTTACTTGCCTTAATATCCTAACTTGGGAAAGGTTTGTGATTTTAAAATCAGGGTCTTTCTGAGAATAGGATGAAGATATTACAATGTTTCTACTCGTCTTTGAAAATGAAGGATTGCAAGACTAAGAGAAATTTTAGGAGCGATACTTAAATGTACATTGAATCCAGGGTTGTGTGGGTTGGTGAACTTAGCAAACAATGGTGACTATTGAAAGAAACTTACGGCTCACTGAATTATTTTATACCAACAGAAATTACCTTGTGAATTTCTAACACCTTGAGATTATTCTGTCTGCTGTTTCTAAATTGTAGGCCTCAAAGGTTTGCAATTCAAATGCCGTAAGCTTTGATGTATGACGGTTGCAGTAAGCTAAGGAGGACCTGATGCTTCTTATAATGAAATGCTGTGGCTTTTGAGCCTCTAGAGAAATCTTAGAATATTCTTGTTATTATCTGTAATAATTAGCATTCGAAGAGCACTTTACATTTATATTGTAGATGGAGTTGAAACCAAGTAAACCATTTCCTTCCCTTCCTCCCCGGAGACAAATACTACAATGAATTTGATCTTTAACATCCCCATGCATGGGTTAC